ATTTATCATGTATATATATATATAAATACACACACATACAGTATATATTTAGAAATTATTTACATGTATATACATTTATATATTTATACTATTATATTTTATATTATATATAAATATATTTAATATATAAACATAACATTTTTCTTATATATACACATGCATGTGTTTGTATTTATATATACATAATATATGAGTGTGTACTGTGTATATTTATTATGTAAACAAAAACTTTTATTTTGGATGAGATAAATTGTGATTAATCGTTTGACATCACTAATATATATACTGATCCCAAACAGTTTAATGCTATGTAAAATAAATATAATCAAAATAAAGACCTGAAGTGTACCATCAGAACTGCCACACTGAATCTTCGAACTGTCATAATCTCAAAAAACAAATGGCATAATTTTACTAGATTCAGGCTTCACTGCCATGTGGACATTACAGTGTCTCTGTCTTACTGGAAATGAGAGGGATGGGGGTCGGCTGTAGAATGGCAATAGGTCCATTAGGCAGGGCTGGAGTGCTGATGGTGGGCATCACTGGCACCGACAGCCCTGTGCCCATCATGGGAGTCATGCCCGGCATGGGGCTCATGGTAGTCATTGGTATAGGGGTCAGAATGGGCACGCTGGGCATCATGGGTACATTTGGCATAGTTCCCATTCCTGCAAAAGCACAAGGGCAAATTCAAACAGACATATCTATACAATAAGACAACAAGATTGCTTGAGAGGTTTTCAAACCATTTCTTTTTATAGCAAGACCTCATTAGTTTAACACTAACAAAATCTATTTTTTACAAATATCAAAAACAAAAGCTAAATCTTAAAGCTGACAAGCTGAAGACATGTTTCTCGTGTACACTTTGAAGGTCGTGGTTACAGCCATCTGTTCCACATTACAACTCAACTCATCTTGTGGCCATCAAGCTGTGCACCTGCTGTCATAAGAAGGACTTTCACGAGGATTGAGGTTTTCCTAGCAAATGGGGAAGTATCTTTTGACATTTGCAGTATTTTGCACTTTTATAGCATTGGCTAAATCTAAAATCTACTTCTAATGTTAATCAAGGTTTTTTTCCCACCAAAAACAGTCGTAACTTAACACTAAACTGCTACTGTGCCTTTAAGACTTAAATGACCTCTACATAAATGACCTCCATACAATGCAGGCCAGATTGCTGAACACTGAATATTGATGTTTGGGCAGCATTCATGTGTGACTGCGGCCGGTTATGGTAACTAAAGAGAATCTTTGGCCTGTTCTGTATTGTGATACTTGTGATAACAATTAGATTAACATTAATAATTTGTAATTACAACAATAAACTGTGTACTGATTCACATTTTGGTTACAGTGCAAGAGTGTTACAATTCCAATGCCCTCTTAGATCATCGCTCTGCAGGTTATAGTGTAGTTTGGCAGCGTACCGAGAGGTGTTGCTGGCATGGTTGGCGATGGCACAGGTGGCTGCTTCATGATGATGGGCAGAGCTGTAGGAAGATTTTGTCCCTGCAGTTTCATCTTGATCAGCTTCATGGCTATAGAAAACTCCAGCCGGTCCATCCTACCATCTTTATTCATATCAGCCAGGGCCCTACCAAACACAAACAAACAGGTCAAGACTTCTCCGTCAATTTCTTTTTTCTTTCTTTTTAAAGACTGTGCATGGTCAGGATTTATTACCAGATCTCAGCTAGCACAGACTGGGGAAGCCCTGATTGAATGAAGAAGCTTCGTGCTTTCTCCCCTATACACAAAAATTATTAAAATATAAATATTAAATAAAATAAAATATTTGGTACATAATTTCATATGTAGTACATAAAAATGTAAATTCATTTATGTTTGTATATATAATTAACTTCAAGAAATTAATCTCTCATTAAAAATTGAAATAAATAATAATATCATAATTAGAATAATAAAAAGGTTTTTAACATTAATACATTTGAATAATGGCTCCCCATCACATACCTGTAACAAAGCCCTGTACCGGCGAGAGGGTGTCAAACTTCTGATCATGTTTGTCCCTCTCCTCTGGGGTTATAGCCCAAATACTCCGACCACCTTACAAGAAAAGTAGACAAACAGAATAAGGCATAAAGAAGAGAAAAAGAAAGAGGGAAAAGAAATAAACTACTAATAGTGCAGGTGGATTCAATATTCTAGTATCAGCAGGTACATTTAAATGCACATAAACATTTGTAGTCAAGCTACAGTGGGATTTTGTATAGGCTGTTCAAATGATATATGTGGCACATCGCTTCTGTCTTTCGGCGCAAGTGTACAATGCAAAGGCCAAAAAAAAGAATAAATCACACTATATCACATTCCAACTTGCGTTGTCTAGGTCTGACTTTATAAAACCCAAACTGAAGAAGATTTAAGATGAAAATGTTTAAATTAAATATTAAAAAGACAAATTATTACTTTAGTCAGACTGAAATTGAACTTTTAAAGTGAAAGTGTATGTAAATGCACTTAGTGTCACCCTGATATTTATTGAAATTATATAGTTAAGTCAGCTTAAAGCAGCAGTAAACATGCAACATGTAAAAATTTCTGTATAACAAGTCACATATATTCCATTTCAACTATTTATTTTTAAATCATGAAAAAGGTGTACTTTTTCGGTTTTACAAAATAATCACCACCAACTGCTTTAATTTTTTACATAACATTAAGAGTGAGCTGTCATTTTAAATGACCAAATGAAGAGGAAATGACATCATTTGAGGATCCAAGTTTAAAATCTGGCAAGTTTTACTGTCATTTAACATTCACAATTTGATTAGCCGAGCATAACATATCCACTCCATCACATAACATAGCTAGAAACTTTTTTTTCTACCAGTCCCTTGAATTTGACTCTTGAATGCTTATTCAAAAACAAGGAGAACAGCAGCCATTTTGGCTGAAATTGTCTGAATATCCTAACACATTAATTTTCATTCATTCATTTATCATTATTAAAAACAACCATTCTCCAAAAGAAAAGGCAGACATGCCACTGAATGTCTTATAAAACTAAACTTTCAATAAACAACATCCCTTGAAACATTTACAGGGTGGCCCGATAAATGTTATTCAAATGTACAGCTACTGAGAAAACTGAGAAAGCATCTTCAAAATGTATATTTTAACAAGCACAAGTCAGTTATCAAAAAAGCTAAATCAATAAGCAGTGAGGTGTCAGTGTGACAGATGGGCTGCTGACAGGCAGAAATGAAAGCGGACGGTCAGAGCCGCTGGTGTGTGAGCAACGCATGCTGCAGTGTGTGAGAGCAGCGTAGCACCTGCACACACACCACAAATATGAACGAGACATGATAAATAGGAAAGAACTCATGTTCTAGTGCATTTATGAGGCTAAAGGTCCTCTGTGTACACACACACAAATCCTGTTGGTTGGGACACGTGGGTAAACACACACACATAGAAATATAAAGCAGAGCTCTTACCATTCATGGCTGCAGGTGGCAGGGATATGAGGAGAGTGGTCCTGATCTCCTCGTCTCAGCTGGCTAGCTCAGTCATCTGCACCACACACACACACACACAAAGAGAGAGAGAGAGAGAGAGAAAGAAGAAATGTCCACTCATTAATAATGCAGGCAGGGGAGTGCAGGGCTGTCGCTATCTCCATCCTGCACTCTCCGAGTGAAAGAGAGAGAGAAGAGGATGTGTGAAGGAGAGAGGAAGGGTGAGAGGGAGGAAATGAGCGCTCCAAACCCCCCATACAAATGTTTTCAACAGACTAATGCTCTATGTGCAAAATCTTAATAAACAATGACACTTTTATGACTGACTGCATCAATATCCTCCTCCTAATAACATCAGAAACTGATTTCACTGCAATCAAAGCTTGATCATTACTTTGGGTGGAAACAACACTTTAACCCTGCAAAGCCCGACGCATGAAATAAGAGCCAGGAAAACCTAATAAACAGAACTTTTAATGGATATAGTATGATACAGTAGAATATAAAGCTCACACTCAAGGAGGAAAAACACCAAGTTTATTCAAAGGCCTAAACTGAGCAAAAATATGCAAATTGGTGCAGATGCAAATATTTAAATGGCCAAAAATTGTGATGAGTTGTCGCTCTATATCTCCTAATAATGTCTTAGTAAGTATAAGGAAATAAAAGCGCTATCTAGGTTTATTCCTGTAAGCCTGACATTATTAGATGAAATCATATAATATAACCCTTGCAAATTTACTAAATAATAATGCTTCCGGTAAATGTCAGTGGTGGGAGTCAGTAATGGGAGTCAGCCAAGAACTCGGATTCACACATTAAATCAATTACAGTCTGACATAATCTCTGTACTGTACGCATGAAAAAAAGATCAAGATGGCAGATAATTATATTATATATGACTGGGGTGAATTGATATGGGTACAGACAGAGACCAAAACAGACATAATGGACAATGATTTATATGCGTGTACAAAAACAGGTATATAGATCTTATCTGCATTACATTTCATTCACACACACACACACACACACACAATGCTAAAAATTCAGCTCTGCAATCACAGGAATAAATGACATTTTCAGTCATATAAATGCAGCCTTGCTATATATAGCTGCCACAGGAAAAAAAAGGCTGAACAAATACAAAACTATTAGTTTATTTGAATACTGAAGGGCTGTATCTTTGTGTCTGTATATCCCCGAGAAACACATCTGACCAGACAGGGGGCTGGCAGACACCATGCAGCCTAATTATACAAGACCACCACAGACTAGTCAACTAGTCATTCAGACCACCCACACTTATAAAACTAAAGATTTTCATACACCCCTATTAAGTGGTCAGTATATCTTTGTATATCGGCCGATCCCAAAAAGTCCAAACATCAACTTGGTTAATATATGACTACCACTAATCATAAGTCATTTAACAGACCAGCTGTACTGTATCTGACAGCTGTCAGGTCTTCAAAACCAATTACTGATAACAGAATATACACACATTAAAACCAGGGAGAAAGTTGCTGACAGGAAGTGATGTGTGGCAGTATTTGCTAGGGCTGTGGGAGCAGGTCTATCGACCTTTTTCCTACGCCCCATGATGCTTTGCGCGAATTATGGGTGGAACTTCCATTACAACAGAAACAATCATTCGCTGCAGTCACAGTGTCGCTACTCATTCATTCATAGCAAGATGTGGAATCACACGCAGACAGAACTTATAAAGGACAACATCAATATACCTGTCCCTTCCTTAAAGGACGATTTTAAAAAGTGGCCGCGCATAACGTACAGTAGTATTTTTAGCTACTTTGTTAATTCAATTGCTTGTGACGGTAAGGCAATGAGCAATTGGAAAAGCTCAGAGGCTTACCAATACCTTCACAGTAATAAAGTAGGTTGTGTGCTATTCAAAGATGTGGGCAATGATTTCGTGTACTTAAAAGCTGATGTAGAGCCGAGTCAAAGCCTGAATGTGTCACACCATAAAGCTTGGGTTTTAGTGTCTACGTCAGGTGTCATACAGACGGCAGGGTGCTCATGTAGTCACGTAGCTGCAGTAATGTGGAAGGTCAGTAAATACATGTATATAAAAAAAAAATAAATAAATAAAAAAAAGGATGATGAGGACTCGCTTTAAATAAACTGTTTAAGGACAATGTACTAACATTGAAATGTATCATTTGATACAACGCACTGTGCATTGTGTAAATACGTTTTTACACTGTAAAAACTAAAATTATCATCAAAATTATAAAACATCTAAAATTACACTGCTAACCATACCCCTTAACCCTAACCATACCATGGAACCTGTGCCAGCCTTACCCAAATCACACCTCATTGGCATCAAATGTAAAAAAAAAAGAAGGGTAAAAAAAATTCTCACCATATGCACATAGTCGTTAAAGACACCTAATATGAAGTGGGATTGATGATGATGATTGTACTATATTATTAGTATTACCATTAGTATTAGGCTAGTAGTAAAAGCATAATCTGAGTGCTAACTAGTGTTTTACATCTAAAAGCTACAATCCTAGGGAGGCAAGAAAATAAAGAGTAAGAAAGACTATTATTTCTTCTATAAAGGTAGAGAATGCAGTCAGGCAAGGCAAGACAGGCATGTCATGTACTGATGTGCAAATGAAGTGGAATGCAGGCACGAGGAAGAATGTAGGGCTGAGGAAGGCAAAACACATCAACTTTAAACGCCATAGACCAGGCCACACATATCCAGGCCCATCATCATTACCTCCAGATCTAACAACTTCACCCCAGCATTTCAAGAACCATGCTGAGTTTGTAAGCCATAGAAATTCATCTTTGATGGCACCACCGTTTCAGCTGCAGACAGAAGGTCTTCTTCAGCTAAGCTTCAGAGCAGATTTAGACAGCAACAAGACCAGCTCAAACCGCACATAAACAAAACATTTCACCGTCGGTGTAACTCAGTCAACGCTGCTACTATTTCCGGCGGAAGTTATACCCATAATCGTTTTTACAGCAGCGCCCCCAGGAAAAAGGTGGATAGAGGAACAGAATGCAGTCAGACAGGACAAGCTTCCAGAAAAGCCCTCGGACAGGGCATGCTTGTCATGTGTGTCATATCACTCTCTTTTCTCTCATTCTCTCCCCATCTAACACACTGGCTGTGGTTTTCTTTTATTCAGAGAGTGATGGACAGATTGAGTGATTTATTTATTTGCATTTAATGCCATGACACAAATCTGTGCAAATATTAGGTAGGTCAGGTTCTGTAAGATTTTTTTTTTTTTTAAGAAATTGCTAATGCTCATCAAGTCATAATAGTGTGACATATTATTACAGTTTAAAATAGCCGTTTTCTATTTGAATATATTTTAAAATGTAATTTATTCCTGTGATGGCAAAGCTACTCAAGAAACATTTTTTATTATTATCATTATTAAAAAAACGTGTATTAAGTGCTGCTTAATATTTTAGTAGAAACAATACCGTTTTAGGATTCTTTGATGAAAAGAAAGAAAAATAGCATTTATTAAATTTTTTTGTAACATTAGAAATGTCTTTACCATCACTTTTGATTAAATTAATGAGTCACTGCTAAATAAAAATATTAATTAAAAAAATTAAACATTAAATTAAAAATTCAAATTGAATGATCTTGGACAAACTGCATATTTTAATGAGAATAACTATATTTAAATTAGAAACTGCATGCACTGAATATCTCTCTTTCCAGTACATATAAATTCAAAGGGAAATCACTCAAAACCGCTGTGTTCCTGAGAGCTTTGAGAGACCAATGGTATTTCATTGTGGCTTTGCATGTTATTTGCAGCTGGGTCAAATTTTGCATGAATTGATCTATAGCAAATATCCAAGATTCAGTTCTTAATAAAACATTGAAAAAATAAAATATTTCTTTACACTATATTATCATTTGCTTGCCAATTATAATGTCAAATTCGTTGGTACTGTATGAATTCTTTGGAAACACTGAATCACAGAGAAAAGCACAATGTAATTGTGTCATTCTTCCTTCACTCACTTTATTTTAATGACGTGTACAGTACGATGTGAGAACTGCAAAGATAGACTGTGAGTTCATAGCTGGGCATGTCCCACCACCTCCTGCCTCCACCCTGTGTATGATTTAACAGCCACAAAGGAACAAAGGAAGTGGGTGGAAAGCAAAAACGAAACAGGATGTCGACAGGTCACAAACAATGTTAAATGCTCTGGACCCACAGCCCTGTGGTCGGAGAGGACATTAAGCCACATTAAGACCAACAAACCCTGTCTGTGTGTCAGACCTTTAACTTTTGTGCTTGCCACTGAATTCTCAGTTCTCATAAAATGAAAGCATCGATTGTAGATGAGAACGTGGCGCCTTGATCATGTAAAAAAAAAAAAAATCTCTGGCAATATTACCAGAGATGCTTGGTACCAATTTCATTTCCCTATACTGTTAAATTATATTAGTATTATATATTTATATACCATTATAGTATTTATTAATATTTTGAATTAGCTTTTATTTTTATATTTTCATTTTAATTTTGAAGTTATTAATCTTGTTACGTGCTTTTGCCATTTATTTTTGCCATTTATTATTTTATTTCAGTTGTATTTCAATGATCAATTTTTTATTGTTTTAGTTAACAATAAGTGCACTGTTTCAGCAACATATTTTATGTGCCAGAATAAAATATTTTTTTTCATTAACCGTTCAAATGGTATTCAATGAAAAAAAAATGGTTTATCATATTCAATCTTTCATAATCTGATGCTTTCAACATTATCAGAGACCATTCTTCAAAAAATCCTCATCTGTGCTAGAGAGCTAGATAACTTTAGCTTGGTGACATAGTCTAATCAGTATAATGTTCAATACAGCCCCTTAACACCAAGTTCGCAGTGCATTAAAACATGCACATGATCAACAAATACAAGACATAGTATCACACTGGCTCTGTGGCATCCTTTGTTTTTTTAACCTTGTATATAATGATGCCCAACATTCCCAACTGTCTTTTTAAAGCAAATATTTTTTCCAGGTTGTAACCGAATCATTTGGCCGGCGGCTCTAACACAATAACACTGGCAGAATGGATCGGTTCATTAGTCTGCTTAGATAACATGAGCTGTTTTGAGCATTTGTGATGAAGGGCAGATAAGTGCAAGTTATGAAGATAAGCACGAAAAGTACACATGATCTTGAACAACTATGTTAAACAAACTATTTCTAACATAAAATATAAATTTGGTAGATAAACATAAATCTCATAGAACAAGCTTGTGACCATTCACCTGAAAACAGAGGACAAAAATCAGTCATTATGGTTTGACAAATCATTCTCCTTCACTGATCCAGAGTTTGCAAGGACATTTCCTTAAAGACTGAAAAAGAATAAACTACATTACTATTAATTTAAAAGAGCCCTAATTCAAAAACCCAACAAGAATGTTATGTAATGTTAATTCATGTTTACAGAATAGAGCACATTATTAAGAGAGAAATCAGGTGCAAATTGATCAATATGATGTCCAATCTATGGAACAAAAATCAATGAAAGGATCAGAAACACTGACCATTGGCCGTGATGGCCAAAAATGTTGTCTAGTTAGGCAACGCAGTAAGTTTTGAAACACAACCATCATCATCATCATCATCTATTAGATCATGTATTATATTTGCTTATTTGTCAATTATGTTATTTTAATTTTGCATTATTAAATGTAATCCATTTAACTGAAATACGTCTGTTTGACAGATTTCAAGTACGAGAGCTCTTCCACATTCCGAGAGATGTTGTCTGATGGCTTTATGTTCAGAAGGTCACGTCAGTGAAGCCTGAACAAACAGACAGACAGCTGGCAAGAAAGCATATACACTGTACATAAACATCCCGCTACTAAAACATCACTGAACCTACATCAGGGCTCAACAAAAAGGATCTTGTTGGCGCAGTTATCGGGCCAGGAGTTCACATTTTTACTTGCCCTGCCAACATTTCCCTGACTGTACTTCAAGTAGCTATGTTTAAAAAAAGCCATTTTTAGCCAGTGAGCGAAAAATGCTACCTATCAGATTGTGCTACCAGCATCTTATTCATGTGGTTTGAGGCTTTTTTAAATGTCCATACCTACCCCTACTCTTACCCTAAACCTACCCGTCCACACCTACCCTTACCCTAAACTTACCCTTAAAACAATGCAAATATATTTTTGGTAGCACAATCTGATAGGTAGCATGTTTCGTCGGTACACCAGCAATTGTCACGTATGAATCATTGTAGCAATATAATACAAAAGCGAATAAATATCACTTTAACGTAGGCTATTTTGTTTAACTCCACTAGACAGTGTAACTCTGAGGGTCAAAGGCAGACAGACGAGTTTGCCACTCGTCTGGCAGGTTTGTGTGAAGAAAGTATGTTCGAAAGCACTTTGAATCAGGTCTTTAACATGAAATGACTCACAATGAGCTCTAATATTTGTAATATGAAGCTCTGAAGGACTTTGAAGAGTGTGAAACTGGACACTTTTCCCAACTCATCACACGACTACTGTAAAACCAAATGATAACCAGCAGAAAATGTTCAACATTACATGTAAGTTACCATAGACGGTATGTGTATAATAAGTATTGTAACTATATTCTAACTAGCTACAAAGTGTGATTAAAGCACATACCATTAAAATGAGCAGACATTTGAGCAGTATTACAGGAGGTACTCACATTACACAACAGCATTATTGACTTTGCGAAATCTCCAGGGAGGAAAACATATCCTTTTCCATTGTCCTCTGAATTAACGTGATGACAATCGGCTTTCAGGGTTTCTTCAAAGAATTTCTGCAGTGTTTTATTGAGAATCTTTGACAACCTGTTGCTGTATGGCGCTGTCAGACAAACATGGCTGACGACGGGACGTGCGCGAGCGCTGAGCGCAGAAGAGCCTTTTAGAGCCGATGATGGGAGGAGCTGAGAGTGTTTCAGTGCAACACTGCTGCCCCCTCACTAGCTACAAAACATCACATTCAATCTACGCGACGCCCTTTTCTATCTATCTATCTATCTATCTATCCAAAACAATAAATTCTTTATTGCCACACAAATGGGCTCCAGAAATAGGTCTATCCATCTAGCTTGTTTTCAATTCACAATTACTAAATACTAATATGTTTTACAGCAATATATTCCATATTTAAATGACTTATTTAACCAAAACAAAACGTAATATAGCCTAATTTTCAATCATGTCTATATATGGATCGTACAGTATATATATTTTAATCCTAATCACGATAATGGTGTTCTCCTAACCTCCTGCTCTTTTATGCCAGTGCAAATTAAGTTTTAGAAAAGAAAATAAGTGCAAATGAACATATGGATGAATTACTTCTTATGTACATATTACTTTATAGTAATAAAACCTCAACCTTAAGCATACAGAAAAAGTAACATCGATAGCAATATAAAGACAATATATAAGCAATATAAAGATATAACTCTCATGAAAATAATTACTTTGACAGAGAATGTTTCTGGAAACCCAAGTATTTCATGAACTTGAGACAAAAGCTACTTTTTAGTTTAGCCTTAAATTGAAGTTTGTAAGTTTGTCATTCTCTCTGGCTCAGGGGAAGAAAAGAAAAGAAAAGAAAAGAAAAGAAAAACTATAATATTTCCAAACAAATGCCACACGAGGGCGCACTTTACCTGCATAACATTATTGTATACCTTTCCGATTAGGTTTCCTGCTAAATGAAGTAATGAAACACTTTCGTTACTGTAATATTTTATTCTTAAAGTGTGCTTCCTGTTAAGTATAACTTATCTGTGTAAAAGTACAAAGTATGCACAAATGGCTAACTTGTCGACTGGAGCATCATTATCAATTTGGACAAATGTCAGAGATTAATATTCTCTCTCCTGATATCATTAGTAAAATAAACTCTGATCATGCCATAAAAAAATAATTATTGTAACTGCGAAAAAAGCAATTCCCCATTAATTAATTAAAGTTATGCTAGTTTATCAGAAGCTGGCGTGAGATCCACAGTCCTGCTCAAACTCCAGATCCTCATATTAGGCTACTCCAGATTCCGGGGTTTGAGTCTGTCCTGATAACCGATCCCCCAGAAGAAAGTTGAAAAGCTTTCAAAGCACTCTTCCAGAAGAATAAGGGCAGGATCCTTTGAATCACGAGGCGGGATGTCAGGATGTTTGCAGAACAGGTTAAGACGCCTGAATGGACAACAACACTTGACACTAATAAAGAACAAGTGGACTAATTGCAATATAACAAACACATAGATCTTTTCCATGAAAAAATGCCGTTTCATAAGAGAATAGTGGAGCCCCGGAGCCTGGGCAGAATAAACAGAGAACGGCTGGAAGTTAATGGTGATGTATTTGCTTCCCTGGATGCTGTGAACTGTCAAACTTTGATTAACATTCTCCGTCAGCTGTCCGATCTGTCGCGGCACGCGAGCAACATGTTTGCAGAGATCCAGACTGAATCAGCGCTGGTCATCAATAAAGCTTCTGCGCTGCAGCACAGGCTGGACTCACTGCAGGACTCTGTGCGACATCTCAAGCATAAGAGGACCACAATCCGTGAGTGCTTTACCTTCATGTATTCAACCACAATGTGGCAAGCATATTTCTTACAACTAACTAGTAGCCTATTTATTTTTTATATTACAGTACGTATTTTTAAATGACTAGTATGCAACCGGTGATTTTTTTGTTTCTTTCCGTATTCTTTACATAACTATTCATAACTTAGATGAACTATTCATTAGATACCACAAGGCCTACGTATCTACTTATTCAGAATGTGGAACAGATTATAGTAACTAAGAAAGAAGTAGGCTATACTACACGTAAAAAATAAACTTGTTTAGTTCAATGTGTGACATTATTTGTGAAATTTACTAGCAATTTTTAAATGAAAAGTGTTTCTACACAATTTAGCCATAGAAGTCAGTGGCAGAACTGAGCAATTTATTACAAATACCAATGGAATAGTTACCTGTTACTACTTGCATACTGACTAGTAGCAAACTAAGAAAAATGGTTCTAAACAGTACCAGAAGAGGGTTCTTCAGCTTGTAACAATAGCAGAACCCTTTTTAGTGCTAAATAGTAGGGTTCCATAAAGAACCATGTTTTGAAAATGCTATATAGGACCTTAATGGTGTTATAAATAACCTTTTTAATGATAGTTAATTTCCCTTAATATTAACATATATCATTATTAATATTATTTGTATATATTATTTATTAATATTGTTTTTTACTCCTCTATCTGCCTGGTATTACAGTATCCTGTAGTGTCTATTAGGGTTTTACATAAAAACAACAACAACAACAAAGTGTCAATTAGGTACTTTTATTTTTTAATGACATGTGAATTTGTAGCAAAAATGACAGTGCTCTAACAACAGTTATTAGCAGAATACATTAATGAATGACAATTAACATTGAACATAAATACTTAAAGAAGTAAAACAAAATAGAAACTGAATATAGTTAAATAAAGACCAAGTTCCAGTGAAATACAGTATTTTCACAATCCTTTATGATGCCTGTAAGTCCATCATTGTGTGTATTTTGGTGTGATTGAGTGGCCGTTTCTCTCTGCGGATGACGAGGTTGTGGCATGTGACAGCAGCTGAAATACAGAGTTCAGAGTTACAATGCGTCTCCTTCCATTTGTTTTTGTAAAAACAAAACAGAAAAGGACCATAAATGAAATATTTTTGTTACTTAGTGGTGAAGAGGAGAGAAGTATCCTTAACTGAACAGGGCTGGTCACACTTACATGTTCTCTTAAGCTGAAAAGAGAAAAAGACATGATTTGTAAGAAACCAGTTACAATTTGAAAGTTAAAAATTATAGACATTTTAAGAAAGAAATCATTTACCTGCTGAGAGTGTGTTGACAGTCTGTGCAGTTGGATAGCTGAACTCTAGAAAATCAGTAGGCCTAATGAGCCATCTTTTTTAGTGTAGCCTCTGTTAGTTATAAATAAATAATTATTTTAAAAATTCTAACAATATGGATTATAAATTCAATGTCTCTGTCACTTACTTAGTGGAGAAGAGGAGTATCCTCAGCCAGAGCTGCTCACACTTACATGTGATTAAAAAAAGAAGAGAAAAGAACATGTTTGTTTGAAAACCAGATACAATTTTAAAGTTAAATTTGTATTTAAATTTAAGAATTAAATCATTTACCTGTTGAGCGTGTGTTGACAGTCTGTGTAGTTGGATCACTGAACTCCAGAAAATCAGTAATGAGGTGCTTTGTCAGTTACAGATTTGAAAAACAAAAGGGCGGGAATAAAGAACCCTAAACTCTGACACAAAGAAAGAACCATTTCAACATTAAAAGGGTTCTTCAGGATGCTATGGTTCTAAATAGAACTGGTTCTACATGTAAAGAACCTTTAAAGAACCATCTTTTTTTAGTGTAAGTAGTGATTAATTGAATATAGTAGCTAATGTAATAGTTACTAGTATTTATTGAATACTAAAATAATAAAATAAATGCTATTAAGATAAAATATGCGCTAGTTAATTTTAGGAATAAATGTTAAAATGGCTTGCCATAACGGCAGTGCATGATTCCAGATCATTAATTCCAAATTCCTTTCTAGATGCTTGGCTGTGGAATTATTTTCCGACTTGTGCTGTGTTGCACTTTTATCTCATGGCACCTGTGGTTGCCTGCCACTTTTCACTCTGTTTGTGAACTGCAGCTCCAATTAGAACATAAATAAATAGAGGTTTTTGGGACAGACTACTGTGCCAGTAATAATGGTTGGCACAGCACTTATTGAGGTCTTCTGGGGCCTGTGTTCACCATTGTGCTGAGCATGTGAATGCTGTCTTTCTGGTCATGATGGATTATTTTGGAATGTAATCAGGATTTGTTCAAGGTGGCAGAAATGAGTCTTCTTTATTTCCTTTTTTCTCTGCTCCCACATATTTCTGTGTATCTCCATGGTCGATATGTTGTACTTTCTGTTCAGCGATTCCCTGCAATGCTTTCACCTCCAAAGAAAACAATGGGTGTTTTCACTGGCCCTGCCTCCAGAACTAAGCCTAGAGTAAGGTGAATGGAGTGCAGGAAGCAGAGCATAAGTGGATACATGTGTGCTCCAGACGTCCAGCCCTGGACGATATATTAAAAGGTACTAAGAAAAAGAAAGTGAGTGATTCTTTGTCTGCTGTATGCTATGACATGGAGTCTATGGATACTGGATACAATGGATATAAAATTTAAATGATCAGAGAAATGACAAATAACATAAGACTAATCTTCAACAGATATAGAAAATGCATCAATGATCAAATATATGATCTCAGTTTCCAGTCCCTATAAATAATTGAAACATGCACTGTTGGACTCCCCAAAACTTTCTGCCAGATTAATTTTTTATGCAGTATTAATTAATTGGTTTGTATCGGTATTATTTTGTATTATTTAAAAAAAAAAAAAAATACATTTTTAACTATAAACAAATTAGGTTTGTATTCATTGCTCGGTGTAGTTTATTTTTTATTTTATTTTATTTTCAATTTATAGTCTTTGCAAACCTTATTGTTATGCACATTAAAAAAGGATGGAAATTTGATTCAACATGTTTGCAGCCCTTTTTCCTTCCATATTGTGACATATTTCTGAGTCAAATCATATATTTAATGAGAAAAAAGAAGGCTAAGACTTGATTTTGTGTATTGGAAATTGTTTGGATCTTGAAAAATGATATTTATGGTTAAAGGCAGGGATGCAACAAAATAAGATTAAGGGTGACCCAATTTAAAAGTTTAAGAATCAATTAAGGGAAAAAAACTATATTAATTGACCATTATTTTGAATGGGACATGTCTCCTTCAATGTCCATGGTGGTGATGTCCATCAAAAAAAAAAAGTTTTCTGTTTCG